GTAACCCGGGGACTGCCTGTATATTTGCATGTATATGCAACCACGCTTAAGTTGTGGCCCTCAGCATGTCCTTTGAGTATCATTGTAAACCCGGGGACTTCCAAAGTTGAGTAGCCCTGAGTTAAAGGGTCAGTACAGGCAGTCCCCAGGTTATGTACAAGATAGGGACTGTAGGTTTGTTCTTAAGTTGGATTTGTATGTAAGTCGGAACTGGTACATATTGTAGGGGAAACTCTAGCCAAACATTTCTCCAGAGCTCAGTTTTATTCTCCCACACCTCACTTCCCTCAGTCCTTAATTCTCAAGCTGAGGTGTCTGCTGAGAAAAGCAGCTCCGCGTCTCCCTGGTCTGCTGGGGGAGGGGCGCTAGCTTCGTGTCTCCCTGGCCTGTTGGGGGGAAGCAGCTAGTGCGGGGTTGCCTCACCCCGTTTGTAAGTAGGGATCCGATGTAAGTCGGATCCATGTAACCCGGGGACTGCCTGTACTGAGTTCCACAGAGCCTCTCCCTTCCCCACACTGATGCCTCTGATACAGTGGCAGCGGGAGTGGGGAAATGGCTCCACGGGAGCTGGTACACACGTGGAACTGGCCTTCCCCGGGTGTAAACATGAATCCACTGAAAATTTCAGCAGTCACACGTTTACCAAAATAAATACATTTTAACATCCCTAGCACTGGGAGACCCTAAAAGGAGAAAACTGAGTCGTGAAGAATGGAGCTGCAGGGGAGGGCGAAGAAGACAGAAGTCAGTGCTTTTAAGCTGGCTCCCAGTGAACACTGGCTCCTGCAGAGCTGCCTGGTCTCTCTTCCCTGCTGCTGCCTCCTCACCCCCAAATGTAAACATATAACCACTGAAAATTTCTGTTAGCTGTTTACACGTGTACACTCTCACATTCCTAATTTGAAGGGTGTTAACGTGTCTCCCCTCAGTTTTCTCTTCTCCAAACTAAACAACCTCCCTCCCCCTTTTTTTTTCAAAATTGCCTGATAGGTCATTCTTTCTATACCTTAATAGTTTTTGTTATTATCCAGATGTTCTCCCATTTGTCCTAGAACTGGCCACCCCAAGGCCCACAACAAAAGCCTGGTCTGCTGGGGGGGCACACTAGCTGCGCCCCCCCCAGCAGACCAGGGACACAGGGAGCAAAGCGGCAGCAGGGGGTGCCTCGCCTCTGAGGCTTTGCTCTGGCGCGGGACTGCTTTGCTCCCGGTGCCCCTGGTTTGCTGGAGACGGTCCCCTGCAGACCAGGGGCACCGCGAGCAACCCCGCCACGGCTGCGGCTTTGCTCCCGATGCCCCTGGTCTGCTGGAGACGGTCCCCAGCAGACCAGGGGCACCGGGAGCAGCTTTTCTCGCCCCGGAGTTCCAGGTGGCTGACCGCTGCCTGTGAGCTCCGGGGCAAGAAAGCCCTGTTTGTAAGTGCGGATCCGACATAAGTCGGATCCGCGTAAGTCGGGGACTGCCTGTACACCAAAATTATTATTCACCCTTTTTTTCTTTACAATGTCTAACATGATTGTTATATGAAACCCTACATAATCTATAACCAAAGTAGTTCAGAAGTTGAATCCTATGAACCTTCCCAGTAGTTACAAATGCTTTCTATTCTTATGCACAGTAAAGACCATACAATTCTCAGTTATCAGAATGATACAAGTCCTGTTATTTCTAGCACCCTCAACCTTGCTCTCTTTTCTTTTCTCTCTGTAATCTTCGTTTTTATGCTTATTCTTTTTAGAGCGTTTGCAGTATAAAGAAAAAATACTTCATTTGTCAGCTGTTACCAAACAATGACATTACACATTACTACAGTTTTTCTCTGCTTATGTAAGGATACTGTATAGTAAGTGCAGCAGTAGCTTAATTAATACTAATTTCTTTAATGGCTTTCACAGTACTTATTGGGAAGTACTGTAAATCCCTTTCAACTGGTCTGTACATTGCAAGAAGAAAGCTGGGTTTGAATTAAATATACATTTTGGCAGTTTAATCTTTCATTTTAAATGTAGGTTTTTAGTTGCCTCATCACAGGTAACACAGTGTAATAATTAATCCCTAATCTATTATTCAATTATTATTATTATTTTCTGTTGCCTGGTAGACTTAGATTTGCTACTCTCGACCCCATAAAAGCAACAGAAAAAGTAATAGTCATATTTAGCATTTCCAGAATTAAAGAAAATACGTTAACAAAAAAAGTGTGTCAAACAGTCTAAGATCTTTAGGGCAGGTGCTGTTTGCCTTGTTCTGAGTCAAATAAAAGTGTCATCTTTACATGACATTGTAAACTGCCTGAACACACCTTAGGTAACAGTTTTGCTTAACGATTTTCAGATGTATAGTAATTTTGATCTGACAGCAAACAGTTTCAACTACAAAGTATACTACCATTTATATTCAATTTCCATTATTTTATGATGTTCTAAATAAACTACTGAAGAATATTTCTTATGTTTTCCTTCCTCCTCTTTCATTAACAAGCAGTATTATGCACACCTTCTGACAAGTACAGGGGTTAACTGTACTTCTTCTGTCATCATATCAAACTGTTTGATAACATCACAGTGTGAAATCTGCATGCACGTTTTCTTTCCCAGTGGAATGAGTTACAGAAATAAAGAGAATTATTTAGGTACGAATACTAGAATGCATGATGGGAACTATCACAATGTTACATTCTACTGTCTATTTAAAGCTTGCAAATATAAACCATGTATCACATTCTGATCTAAACAAACTATAAGTAGTATACAAAACATCAGTATTATCTGTATATTAGCATGCACAAATTTAAAATAATGAAGTAATGTGACATTTCTCTTTGGATCACATAACAGTGGCATACAGTAACATCAAACTGGCTCTTTTACTTAGGATGTAAAAGGTTAATTGGTAGGGGCTGGAGCAGCTCTCTGCCTACCCTGAGCAGGGGACTGCTGGGCACAGGGCCCACTACAGGCAGTGGCAGCTCCTGTCCGTGGTGGGCCCGGCTTGGGCGGTGTGCCACAAGCAGGGGCTGCTCCAGCTGGCTGGCCGGAGGAGTCCCTGCCACCTCCCCTCACTGCAGGTTACACTCTGGCTGCCAGAAAACTGGCTGCAGAGCCCTCAGTAAAGCCTCCCCAGGAGTAGGACTGGCAGCCCTTGCCAGTCCTGCTCCAGGGAAGGTTTCACTATGGGCTCTGCAGTATAAAGCTTATCATTAAGCTTTATACCATAGAGCCTGCAATGCATGTAATCGCTAGGATTTTTAGCGGTTACACAGTTGCATTTTTAGACACCTTTTTACAACCCTGCTTTTAACACTAGACTGGACAAAGTGTTAGAAAATAATACGGTAAAGAAAACAACTGCACTGGGGAAATTTAGACTGGGTGACATAATATATCTTTTCCATCTCTAAAGCCTGTTATTTTAATCCTATCAGATACATTTTCTTTGGTTGATGGCATATTTTATAGAGAACAATCATAGGGTACGTCTACACTGGCCCCTTTTCTGAAAGGGGCATGCTAATTTTACAGGTCGTAATAGGGAAATCCACGGGGGATTTAAATATCCCCCGCGGCATTTAAATAAAAATGTCCGCCGCTTTTTTCCGGCTTTTAGAAAAGCCGGAAAAGAGCGTCTACACTGGCCCCGATCCTCC